GTTTAGAGCGTTATAGACCTTAGATCCAAAAGCAGTATTATATAGAAAACCATTGATTTTAAGCAGAACAGTGGCAGTTTAATGTCATTTTTGTGACATAGATTCAAGATTGTAAACCTCAGATAGGGAAATTAAATAGCAATCTCTTCCAGTCTAAGGGAGAGATATTTCATGCTAGGTACTGTATTGGAAAGAGAAGGAAGAAAAAATTTCAAAAAATATTTAGGAGCAAGACTAGACAAGATTTGCTGAACAGTTGCAAGAGGAAGAGGAAGAATAGGGTACTAGAATGATTTTCACCATTGGGCTTGAACTTTTCCTTCTGGGTCCTTAGTGTGTTACTCAAAAACACATCACTTCCCCAACAACTTCATTTCTATATAGAAATTTGTCCATAGTATTTTCTCTCATTTGTTTTATACCAGGTATTTTACGTAGTTATTCTCAATCTACACAGTGATCACAGAGTTACCATTCCTATTGTAGTAGACAGGGAACTATGGGCTCAAAACTAATTTGCCAAGGAAAACAAAGCTTGTAGTTATTTGAACTTTTGTTATAACTGAAACTGTTACCTCTGATCTCTAAATAGCAATATACTGCCTCCCATTCTATTCTCTTCCCTTCTCTTTGAACTTGCAAATGCCTTTACTTTCTGTCAGTCACTACTATAATGCTCATGTACTTATTAAGTCCCCTTCTCTATTCTCCTGAGATCAGTGTGTCAAAATTCCAAGATAAACAATACTTTTCTCAAATCCCAAACATGTACCATAGCTATCCACAAAAGAATCCTTCATATATACCACTCATACTAGATTCTTTCAACACTTGCCTTTTCTTAACTTAGTCTCTCATCTGTCTGCCCTCTGTTTTCTTATTTGTTAAAGAGCCCTTGGTCCTCTGCTTGTAGAACTTAGACCAGAGCTGTCCAGTAAAACATTCAGTGATGATAGAATTGTCTTACATTTTTTTATTTCCAGTATGGAAACTACTAACCACATTTGGCTATTGAACACTAAAAATATGAATTGTGTAACTAAGGAACTGAATTTGGAATTTTATTTCATTTTAGTTATTTTAAATTTAAATAGCCACATATGGCTAATAGCTACTGTAGTGGACATTAGAGATCTAACTTTTAGGGGCTGGCACACTATTGATGGGTCAGATAGTAAGTCTTAGTCTTCTAGTCCATGCAGTCTCTGTCACAACTACACAATTCTGCCATAATAACTTAAAAGCAGCCATACAGGGGCCAGCATATGGCATAGCAGTTACATCCCTGGACTCCCACATGGGCAACTGCAGTTCAAGTCCTAAACTCAGTAACTTGAGGCTCACACCAGGCATGTGTGCATGTGTGCCCAGAATCCCAAGAGGAGGGTAAAGAAGGGATTGTGGGAGGCAAGGGGGGGGGGGTTTTCTTGCTTTCTGTCTCTCTGGTGAGTGTACACATTTATAACAAAAATCTCTAAAAAAAAAAAAAAAAAAAGAAACCACGAATAATACAATAAATAACTGGGGCTG